TCTTTAAGTACGTTAGATACATTCCCCGATCTCTTCTCTTTCAATCTTTTGCTCTTCTTCCACTTTCAAGCTTTCAAGACTTCAAGTTCATAGTGGGTTGATTTTTTTTTCTTCTAGTTTTTTGCCTTTCTCTCACTCTTGCCATTTTTTTTTTATTTTGATGAATTTATAGAGCTCAAATTTCAATAAACTAAGCTCTATGTTTTGAATTATTGTTGTTGTTGCTACTACAAAGCACAACCAAGAAGTTTCCCAAAGCTAAGATCCATAATTTTAGTTTCATTTCTTCTATCATAAGCTAGGATAATGGTAATAGGATTTTTTTTTCAATTTATTCGGTTTGTACACACACACACACACACTCTTGAGTAGTTTGGGAAGATCACTATATGTCGGTATCTTTTAAATTGAATGAATGAGCTTATAGACTATTATAAAGTGTCATCGTTGTTCTTGCATTGCCAATTCAAGGGAACCTTTTAGCATACAATTTACAATTTTCTTGAAAAACGTTCCTTTGCTTTTGGTCTTGATGCTATAGTGAAATAAAAGTTGGAACTAATTAAATGAAATTCCAATAGCACTTTTTATTGTGTGATGTCAAAGGGCCAGTCGTCAAGTTCGGAATGAAGTTCTCACGGGGCTCTTTTGGTCAAACATATGGACTAGTTATACATATAGGTCACACTAAGCAACAAAGCCATTAATCTTAAATATGACCTTAAATTTTTTTCTAGCTATTTTCTTAAAAGGTTGTATTAAAGCTATTTATGAGCTAGTTCTACATATAGTCGATGCCAAATAGCAATGGCATTCATTTGCTTATAGCTAACTCGTCAATTTTTTACTATTTAACTTTTTTTTATGCAAACGAGTGTATTCAATAATTATTTCTAATCAAATATATTTATAAATTTATATAGATGTTAGGATCTGAATATATCAATGATGAAGTTGTGAGTTCAACCCATCTATAAGCAAATACAACTCCTTCTCCATCAAACACACAATCGAACACAAGGATGAAGAGAAAAAGCAATGAGACTAAGGTCAATTGTATAGGATCATTTCACCAAGTTTGAAGATAAAAATAAAGAAATCAAGGATAGATGTAATTATCATAATAAAGTACTTGTTACTCATTCTACTAGAAATGACATTACTACACTTAAGTCTCATATGCAAAAAATACCCTTATATGCTTAACCCTACCTAAACACAATTGAACCTTCAACTAAATTCAAATGTTCAAACAAGAAAAATCACTCTTAACATATGAAAATTTGATCACAATGGCATTAGAAATGCTTTAACTTGCAAGATTATCGTGGATGAACTTCTTTTCAAATTTATAGAGAATGTGAGGTTTAAATAGTTTATGTTAATTGCACAACCTAGGTTTAAAATTTCATCACGAATTACCATTTCAAGAGATTGCTATCAACTTTATGTATATGAGAAATTAAAGTTGAATTCTTGAAAAATAAAATTTCAAAGAGTTTGTCTCACTACGAACACATGGGTATCTATTTAAAGAAGTAATTATATGTATTTAATGGCTCATTTCATTGTCAATGATTAGAAGTTACATGAAAATATCTTGAATTTTTTTCTAGTTGATGGTCATAAAAGTGTTCTACCTACAACATTTATTCGTTCATCAAAGCATTAAACAACCAAACCTCCCTTTTATTGTAAATCAATCAAATAATTGATAAATGGTTGAGCCAATTCCCTACGGGATCGACCCTTGCTTACCCTAAATTACATTTTAGTAATTAGGTCTAGTAAGCAAATAACTAGATTATTTTAGAGCATTTGGCATGCTACTAGTGAAGATCCCTTTTGAATTGTTATGTTTTGGATGAATTCTTATCGAATTGATGGACAATTAATTGATGTCTAGTTTTGAATGAATTTTGATATAGAACACACCTCAATCGATCACTTTAAGGATATACTTCATGAAAACCTTGCTAATTCAACCAAAAAAAGATACATAGAAAGTACGAGAAAAATCTCAATTTTATTGCATCAATATTCGTCAAAAAACGCTCATACAAAGAAGCAAATACTTTGCTTAAATACTAGACTTTATAGGTCGGCTAGAGTTAATAAAACTTATACAAATTGGACTACAATGCTTAATCATTGGCCGAACCTCATAATAACAAATAGAAAAATACACTTCCATACATCCGTAATTTAATTAATAATTATCTTGAAAGTGTTCACATCAAATTAGCATGCATATGACTTAAATGATTGCTAAACAAATAAGAATACAAATACAAAATCCAATCCAATTCAAGGCCAATATTTTGCCATCTCCAAAAATAACATGAGGACTAAATTAATTAGCTCAATTCCAAATAATAGATAGACTCAAAACAAAACATAATTATTTAACCTATTTTCAGACTTACACAAGATAAGATAAGATAGTTGGATAAGATAAGATAATATACGATAAAATATTCTAAATTTCAACTAAATGTTTAGACCATGTAGAATTTTGAAGAGTTTCTATAGTGATAAATTACTTATGTGTGAACTCTAGTGTTGGAGTACACATATACCAGAAAAGTTTCAAAATACCCTTGGATGGTAGATGAAAATTTCAAAATTGCTATGGCGCGTGTGACACATGCAACACATTGACATTCTTATTGTTTCCGGTCATTTTCAATTGTCTTTCGATCACTTTTCCTGCCTCTTTTCGGAAAAAAAGAAGAGAGAATCAAATTTTTTGGTGTTTTCTTTTATATTTTTGACCACCTGGACTGACCTTTTTTGACTTTTTGCCTTTTTCTATTTATACTTGGGGTTTGTTTCTAGCCATTTTTTTAGATATTCTAAAAAAAACTTAAAAGAACTAATGAGTTCACTGTTTGTGCTGCTTTTCATCGATGCTGGCCGTTGATTTCATGCCCACCTTGATTCTACCCAAACGATTGTTTGCCTTTTCTTTAACATATATTTTAAAATCCTGCATCTCAATTACTCTTTTTTTCACCAGCATTTTCTTGACACGCTTTATGTCCTTTTTACTGTTTTGAATCATTTGTTTTGTTTGGCTTTTGTCCTCTTTTGCTTCCGTTATTTTCTTTTTTTATTGCGTGGATTTGTGAATTTACTTTGTTACCCTCCTTGTTATCTCTTTTTTATTTCTTCAGATGACTCTATTTTCGTCTTTCCCCTTTTGTATCAAGGCGCCCTTCCAGAAAAATTTCTTTTTATCATTCTTCTTTTCCCTTTTATTTGATCCTGACCATTCATTTACAAACCCTGACAATCATGGCCATTAAATCATAATAAATAGCATCGTTTACCACACTCTCATTAAACCTCTGTCTTCATCTTTCTGTCTCTCTCAAACCCAAACATAGAACTAAACTCATATATATATATATATATATATTTTTGAATTATTCAATTTTGATCTACTGATCTCTTTCCTTACTACAGGAACATAGGAGTGAAAGTAGAGGCAAAATTTTGGAATCTCTTAAGTAATTTGGCCCATTATTTTTAACATGTCTATCTTTCATTTGTTATTGCATGACTCTCATTATGTGTTTGGTTTATGAGAAAGCTGTAGAAATTTCAGCCTTCCACCACCCTCCGCCACTGTCAAGTAGCCCGCCATTACTCTTCTCTCATGTTGATTTCCTTTTCTTCTTCTTCTTTTCTTTCTTTATTTGGTTGCAATAAGTAAGAAAAAGAAAACTCAAAATGAATTAAGTTTGTTGACATACATGCATCATTAGTAGGCCATTAAAGCTCCTTCTTGATTTTTTGGGGCTATTTTTGTTCTTAACAGAAGCACAGGAGTGAAAGTAGAGGAGAAAATTTGGAATTTCTCAGGTAATTTTAGTCTATTCTTTTTAACCTCTCTCACTTTTATTTATTCTTTCATGACTCTTTTTATGTTTAATTTATGAGAAAGCTACAGAGATGGACCAAAGAGGACGAAAATAAAATTTCTGTTTTTCATGCTCTTTGTCTTTTGAGTCAGCAAAACTCAAAAAGAAAAAAAGATTATTATTTTTTTCTCTATTTTAACCTTCTTTTTGGCCTTTTACTTTTCTGTACTGTGTTTTTTTACAAGCCCCTTTCTTTGATTGATATATATATATATATATATATATATATATATTGCTTTTATTCTCCACTTCCATTCCTTTAATTAAAAAAAAAAAAATCTATAAACTACTGTCGTGTTTTTAATTGTATGTGTTTTTTCTCCATCGATTAACTCCTCCCTCACAAGTCCCTTCAACTGAGCTTTTTAATTCTTTTCTGAAGTTTTGATTTTCACAGTGCTTTCTTTTTGATGTTGTTATGTATGGTAGTGCCTATGTTTTTCTATTTTAATTAATGAGATCTTCTCATTTGTTTTTGTCATTTGTCAATTAGTAGCTGAATATTTATTTTTGTATTCTGGAGTGCTAAGCTTCTTTCTGTGGGATCTAACTTCTTTTTGGCAATTATGTTAATAACATAGGTTGAGGCAATTGTTAAAAGAATTATTGATGGAAATCCTCAATCAAGCTTTTTCGAAGGGGAGATAACAAGAAGCAATTTTTTGGTTTGGCATCTTAAAAGAAAGTCGCAAGTAGGATTCCATTTAGGTAGTTTACTAGCTCCTACTATTTTGTTTTTGGGTTGTTGTTTTTTTTTTTTTTTGAGCAACATTTGAAGATACATATGCTTCAAATGAGAATTCTTTCAAGGCATCAGTTATTTTTAACTGCTAATCATTATGGATTCGTCAGGTAGCTGGAATTAACCTCTTGTTTGGATAGGGTGGAAAATGGGAGAGAGGAAAGAAAATAGGGAGGAAATGAAAATTTTTTTCTGTTTTGTTTACAGAAAAAAGCTATGAAAAGAAAAAAAAATATTAAACAAATCTACAAGTGGTGTGACCTATTTTCCTCTAAAACTTGGGAGGAAATAGGGAGAAAAATTGAAGGAAACTGATTTGTTTTTATTTTTTTTCAGTTTCGCCTTTGCCTGGCGTGGCGTTTCTTTTCTTTCCCTTCCCTGCCCATCTCGTCTCTGCGCAAATCCAAGCCCTGAAACATTAATCTCACACTGACCAAACACTCTAGGATCCATCAATGAATAGCAATGGTATTGAGAATTACTGGCAAAAAAAGACTTAAACTTAATGTCTGGGTTACTGTAATTATTACCTAACAAATTGGTAGGATCCCTTTTTGAAACACAAGACGAAGATGAAGATGATCTATGGAGGTGTAAACCATGAGCAATTTCTCTTATTGCTTCGGCCATGTTGATGAGACAATCTTGGGCACCCCTTCTTGTATGAGACCTCTTCTTCGCAAGTCTTCTTGGATAATCACTCTCTAGTGCTGAACCTATGTCCATTGCTATCTTCTAGCAAGATTCTTTTTGTTTTTCTTTTTCCCTTTTCCCTTCTACAAAGATAAAATTTCGTTGCCTACTACTAGAGAACGCTACATGGGCTAGTGATGTGATTGACAATTGTTTGGAGACTGTCATAAAACAGGTAGCTAGGAGATGTGCAGGTGGCAAGAGTTAATTAATTAAGTATTTAAATATAATATATGTTATATATATTTAAATTAATTTTTAGATTAATTTTTTTTGTTAATAATTAATCTAAATTGGTTATTGAATTAATTAATTAATAAACAGTTATCAATTATTCTATGGAGATGATTCATTATCTATCTTATCATTTCGAGATATATGTTACATGCTAGATTTTTATTTTATTATCATTTGTGTTATTTTCATGAAAAAAAATATTTATATAAATTTATTATAAGAATTTAAATATAGAAATATAATCACATGGGTATTATAGTAAATATACAATAATACATTTTCTTTCTTTTTTTTTTTACAATTATCCAAATAAGGAAAATGTATTTTCTTTCCTTTCCTTTTCATCCTTATCCAAACAACAAGTGGAAAATGATTTTTTTCCTCCCTCTTTTCTTTTCTCTCACTTTCTTTCCTCTCTTTTCTTTCCTCCCAAGAGGAATTATCCAAACAAAGGGTAATAGTTGATGAGTCATTAATTCATGTAGTAATTAGTGTAAGATTGAATTGTAAGGAAAAAAAGTAACATAAATCCCTTGTTTGGATAGGGAGGAAAGTGGGGGAGAGGAAAGAAAATAGGGAGGAAATAAATGTTTTTCTCCGTTTGGTTAGGAGAGGAAAGCAGTGTAAAGAAAAAAATAATAAAAAAATATATTTTAAGTGGGATCCATTTTTCTCCCAAAATTGGGAGGAAATAGAAGGAAAAACGTGGTACTTCATTCTTTGTTTTTTGTGATCACGTTTTTGCCTTCTGCCTCTCAGTTGTCCCTCTCTTTTCTTTCCTCAGTAGTAACAAAACAAATATGCAAATCAACACAGGGCTATCGGCGTTATTTGCGCTCTTTCTCCGATCAGCATTGTGTTTTCGTGCAACAAAGCAAATCACCATATGGTGCATGAAAGGGCCAGAAATTACCATTCGCTGAGGCTGAGCTGAGTGAATCACTGGTGGCAAAGATGAAAGCATTAGGATGGTGGCTGATGTTAGTGGGCTTCCTTCGATTAGCATCGGTTTGGTTTGGTTTCTTCGACATTTGGGCTCTTAGGCTGGCTGTCTTCTCCGATACCACCAGCAAGCTTCTTTCTTTTCTCTCACTCAATATCTCTAAAGTCAAATCCCCTTGTTTTCTGCTTAAGTTTGTCATCCAAAGGTGCTGCTAACGATTTGTGTGTTTTAAGCCGATTGTTGAATTTTACCGATACATTGAATTAAACATAATGCTGAATTTGGATCTTGATTAATTTAAGTGGGTCAAAATGCAATTAAGATTTGGATCCATAATTTATTTTTTATAGAGCAGTAGCAAGGGGGAGAATTTGAATGTGGTGTCCAAGAAAGTTTACTAGAATGCTAGATTTTGAGTGTACTGGCAAAACGTGGATTTTTTTTTGCTTAGCTCAATGTGGATTTCTGTCCAAATTCTTACAACAACATAGTTTTTTCAGGTTCATGTATGTGCAATTGTGTCAGGAGTAAAGGGAGCAACTATGGAAGTATTCAATGATTTAATGATATGAACTAGACACCTGCAATCGTGAGTAATGAAGGGTTCTGTTTTTTTTTCTCTTTTTTGGTGTTAGATTGTCGAAAAAGATAGTTTCAATCCATTGTCAGGCAGTATATTGAATATTAAAATGATTTTGATTGATTCTATGGGGATTTGTCCCTAAGATTTTGGTTCTTTTGGTGCTTGTATGAGTATGGGCAAACGTGTACCTGAAGTGGAGGATTATGTTAAGGGAGCAAGGCAGGAATGGTTCCTAGAGTTCGTAGTTTTATCATGCACTCAAATGATTGCTTCCTACATGCTTTAACTTTCAGGGAATTTTGGAGTCGAATTGAAAATATGTTAGTAATACTTTTATTACCTGAAGCTAATACTGGTAATCAACTATTTGGTTAGAAGAAAAGAACCATATTACAGATTTCAACTATCTAGATCAGAGGAAACCCAAAGATTTTCATGCATTGTAGATCAAGTAAATTTTACCTGGCCTACTTGAACTGCCCCCTTTTCTATTCTCTCCTTTCCTATAATTGTTCTTCACTATACTACAATAAGGATCTTTTTTATGTAGCTTCACATTGACCTTCTTTAAGTTCACTGTAGTTCTGGCCGGTTGGTTAAGAAGAGAGAGCACACCTTTTGAGCTGACATGGCCACTAGGCTTGTGTTTTCTGATATTTCAATAATTGGTGACTAAAATCTCTGACACTAAAATGGTAGTTGCTCAGAAAGTACTAATTTGATACTAAATCGAATCCATTAGGCCTGTGTTTTCTGATACTTAAGTGATTGGTGATTAAATTTTGTTAATTAATACCCATTGACTTGAGTTAGTAATAGCAATCACAGAAACTTCTTCATTTTCTTAGGTTTGAATATCAAGATAAATGATATCTTCTTTGTAAGCGTATCTTTTTCCTTTGATTATGAATCCAGACTAATAATATCAGTCACAGACACAAAAAGCAGAACATGCTTATAAAAACAAAGGCTTGCAACAATTCCAAACCCAGCAGATGCATCTATTTCTTTATGGTTGAAGTTTTGTTTGTAACTCTTTTTTTATTGGTTTCAATGGTAGAGAGTTCCTTCTCCTTTGTTGTAATTGATCATGGTTCTGATTTTCTCCCCATCGTATTATTGCAGTGACTGAAGTCCACGGAAGAACATTTGGAGTTTGGACACTTTTGACTTGCACTCTTTGCTTTCTTTGTGCATTCAACCTGGATAACAAGCCACTTTATTTGGCCACCTTTCTATCGTTCATCTATGCCTTAGGGCATTTCTTGACTGAATACCTCATATATCAGACGATGGCCATTGCAAATTTGACTACTGTGGGCATCTTTGCAGGTATTTGTGTTTCTTAGTAATCTGAAATGTTTTATTCTTATCTACCAATAATTCTAGTATCCAACCCAAGCATTCTATGTTTAGGTTTACTTTTGCATAGCTCGGCATAGCTTGCTTGCAAGTGGCAACTCTGTTTTGTTGTGCGTACCTTGGGAAACAATTTTTTTTCCTCACTGAATCCTAAGGTAAAGGTAGATCAGCACGAGCTTACAGTTCTAGAGAGAGACATTTTTGGATTGACAGCTCATACTTGCAGCCAAATTCTGCAATTTCACTTTTTTATTTGTTCACGTCTTGTTTCTGTAGGCAATAAATAATCGTATATCTTCAGAAAAATCTATTTCTTGGTCTCCATTTAGTTCATATGTTCGTTTTTAATCAGGTACATCAATAGTGTGGATGCTAATTCAGTGGAATGTGCATCAAAAGAGCCATCCGAAGCATTTATGAAACTAGAATGTTATTTTGCTTGCGATGCCCTGATCTTTATTGCGGGATCTCGTGGGAGCTTTTGTTACTCCTTCTCAACTTGTAATTGGATTTTCTGATGCTGCATGCTTTTCAGATGCTTATGGCTCGCTGTGATTCTTAGACGTACCAATGATTGGATTGCTGTTTTAATGATGATGTTCTTATTTTAGATTGCTGTTTTAATGATGATGTTCTTATTTTCAGCTCCTTTTGGAAGTTGACCTTTTTGTAGCAATGGCTTTCTAGAAATTACGGTGAAGAATTTCCGAGTAAAATTTTGGCTAATTCTACCATGCCGCGCAATCTTCTTTAAATTCCGTTGCTTTTAAATAATGAGAAAAATATAATAAATATATAATAATATATTTTCTTTTCTTCCTCTTATAATTATCCAAAAAAAAATATATATATTTTCTTTTCTTTCATTTCTACTCTTATCCAAACAATAATAATACATATCATGTATATTTAAATTAATTTTATATTGATAATTAATCTAAATTGGCTATTGAATTAATTAATTAATAAACGAGTTATTAATTATTCTATGAAGATGATTTATTATCTATTTTATCATTTTAGATAGATGTTACATGCTAGATTTTTATTTTATTATCATTTGTGTTATTTTTATAAAAAAAATATTCATACAAATTTATTATAAGTATTTAAATATAGAAATATAATCATAGGAGTATTATAGTAAATATGTAATAATATATTTTTTCTTCCTCTTTTTATAATTATCCAAACAAGGAAAATATATTTTATTTTCTTTCATTTCTATTTTTATCCAAATAACAAGTGAAAAATCATTTTTTTTCTTTTTTTCTTGATACTTTTTTTCTTTTTTTCTTTTTTTTCAAGAGTAAATATCCAAACAAGGGGTAAGTGTCTATCCATTAATTAGTAGATTTCTTTGGTTAATTAATGCCAAAATTACCTTCTCCCGCTTATGAGAATAAAACCAATCACCCTTAGCAAAGGATATTAGAGAAATGCAAAAAAAAAAAAAAAAAAAAAAAAAAAAATTCCTGGTTTTAAAGAAATGTGAGGCAAGATGAAGAAAGTATAATGCATAATGCATAAACGAAATCTTTTTGAGAGGTCAATTGAGGTAGAAAGCTAGACTTGAAAACAAGAGCCCAAGAAATGACCAAAGCTGCAGCTAAAAGACTTGAGATTCTTGCAAATAAGAGAAGTGGGACTAGCGAACAACAAACTGAGGTTGCCACTTTGGAACTTCAAGTAAGTCTCTATCGACACAAATGAGAACTGGATCTATTGTGCTATTGACATGCCTTTTGTATTTCTTTATTAGGAATGGCCGAAGGCAGGTCTATAATTTAGTTTTATATTTTTTTATTATGAAATTAGATGTTAAAAATATAAAAAATAAATTGTTATTTTTTTTAGTTTGACAAACATTTTAACAATGATAGAATATATATAATTTTTTTTAAGATTTTAGTTTGAACATCTATACTTGATTATTTTACACTTATTGTTTAAAATTTATTTCTTCAATTATTTGTTTCTTATTAAAATTTTTATCAAATTAATTTTATAATTTTTGATATAATTTTATTTGTTTATAAATTTTGTTTTTAATGTATGAATTTTAGAATGCCTATGTTTTATTTTTTAAAATATATTATTATAACTAATATAGTAAATTATTTTTATGATTTTTAAATGAGAATTTTATTTTTTAAAAATATATTATTATAATTTATAAATTTTGATTATATATATATATATATATATATATATATATATATATATATATATATATATATATATAGAGAGAGAGAGAGAGAGAGAGAGAGAGAGAGAGAGAGAGAGAGAGAGAGAGAGAGAGATGTGTTAGATCATTTGACTCTTTTTTTTAAAAAAAATTTTAAATCAGCTTAAAAAAATTCATAAGTTTTATATATATATATCCAGAGTTTATTGAAACCAATTTTGTTGTTATTTTATTTTAATCTATTAACTTTTATATATTTCATATGTTTTAGCTGGATTTTTTTTGTATATTTTTTATTTTATTCTATATATTCTAAATCAGTTAGTTTTGTTAGAAATTGATTATATATCTACATATATAATATCAATTATTTATTATTTATTTTTTCATATTCTATTTTTTTTAAATAAAATAAGTTACATAATGTTTTGAAAGAACCTTATTAATCAAATATAAATTTTTAAACTAATATTATTAAATATTTTGTTAATAAATATGTATAAATCAAATGATTTCACTCAACATATAGATTCGATTTATATTAATTATCGAAATAAAACTTTACTCGTATTGTATCATACGAATCATTAACGCTATGTATGTAATGATTATCCGTCCGCAACGTAACGTAGGTATCTAACTAGTATTTCTTCTAAATAAAATTGTCTTGTTTTGTTAAAAGTTAACCCCAAAGTTGAATTAATCTATTCTCCAAAATTAAATTAGGTTTAATTAAACTAGAGTAGGATAGTCTCTTTGTTTCAATTTTTTCTCTGGTTTTTTTTTTCCTCGAGTTTTTATGCATTAATTTTTTCTTTACTCATTTTTTTCCATGATGTATTATTTTCACTCAAGACTTACAAAAATAATAAAATTCATTAAAAAAAAAATAGATAAACCAAATAAAATGTTTAATTCTCGATATTTTTTTGAAGTTTTTTAAAAAATCTACAATTTATAAAAATAAAGAGGTCAAAAATCAAATGACGACATTTTCAAAGATGCCTTTTATCCAAACAAAATTTTCCTACCTTATCTATTACTCCTTTCTTTCTTCTATTTAAAAAATAAATAAATAAAAATAAAAATAAAAATGACTGGGTAAATGACATGGAACCGATGAAGACTAAGCAATAAAAAAAGAGGGACTACTTAATTAATTTCATTAAACTCAAGGAACTACTAAGTTATAGTTAAGTTCTCAGAACGCCGAAGAAAGAAAGAGGAGAAAAGTTAAACAAACCACACCAACACATCCAAGGCAACTTTCCCGCACTAAAAGGCAAAAATGCATTACGACTGTCATTTTACAAACACCTAGATGATATTATTCATCTGATTGAAAAACTTACTTCCGCTTATCCAGAATTTAGGTGTCACTAGCATACAGACTACGAAGAATGCTACCTTAAAATATTTTGGACATTAAAATTCAAATAAGATTTTGATCATATGAAATAAGAATTCCAGTTCTACTTACTTTACATCCACCAATAAAAAAAAAAAATGTCAAACGACAAGTGTCCTAACTGGAGAGGGGCAAAAATAGTTTAAAATAAGATCAGAAGATGCTATGATGCTAAATGACATATGGGGATTGGGAAAACGAGGAAATGAATTTAGTATAATGTATCAACAGTTAGCTTTCTTTTGGGAGGAGATTTCTCTGCAATCTCCTTTTGCCGATCCATAAAAGTAGAGCCCTTGTTAGCAAATAATCTCCGGAGGTTGATCACTGAAAGCTCATTGAAGCTAGCAACTGCCAGATCAGCCTGCACCAGATCATACCTGCATGTTTCAACATTAATCAGTATCTGAATAGATGGTGTAAAGTAATTCTAAATGCTTTTCAACCAAAAATATAATTTCAAATCAACCAAACATGAATTCAAATAACAGATGCAAATGAATCTATATGTACGAATTTCTATAGTGATTCTAAGGGCACTTCAGAAACAAATCGCAGGTTTTTTTGGTCAATAAAACAGATCATAAGGGAACTGAAATGTCTGTCAGTAGCAGCACTTTTGGAGATACACTTTTTATAATCTGAAAAAACAAAGTTTGTGTCTGTGGAAGTAGAATCTTCAAGACAAAGGCTTCTTCGAGAATTGATGAAAATTTGAAACCATTAGAAATCAATAAATTCCTTATTTGATGAAAACCTAGCAATCTAATTACTCTGTTCAAGCCATCTACAAATTCCATAGATAAATGTTTAAGTACGCACGCAGGATGTGCACCAATTAATGCTACTGCCATCATAGTACAGTTGTGGGCAGCAGCTATGCCCCTGGGGTCATCTTCGAACACCACACACTTGGATGGTTTGCGGTCTAGCTGCAAGGAATTTATAAGAGGTCAGGAAAGAAAAATGAAACTAGAGGACAAACTGCTACAATTAAAAAGAAAAACAGAGTGAACAACAGCATGAGATACATTTATGAAAGGCATGCACTAGTCTTATCCCAAACTTAGTGCCTTTGTTCTTCAATTTAAATTATATTATGTTTTAATTATTGACTATCTCTTAGTTATTATTTAACAAATCCATGAAGTAAAATAAATCAATTGAATATATTTACCAAATCCACGGCAGCCCATGAAACATGATAACAATAATTTAACTCATCATATAATCTACACCTAGAAAATTTGTTTATCAATTAGTTGAAATACTTTTATTTGTAATTTGTTTGTAAATTAGCATTCAAAGACCAAAAACAAGAATAAGATAGCCAATGAAATTCTCCCAAAAGAAAATAATAAAGAAAAGAAGAAGACCAACCAATAAGATTGTTACTTGTATCTTTGTCGTATGACTCCAAATTAAATGAGCATTCTTCCAAGTGAAATCAGAGCATAAAATTAAGCACATATCCTTATGTTTACAAAGATATGGGTACAAATTAGATGCGATTGATCACATAATTGATTGAGTAGAAAACATAGTCTAGGAGATTCAACAACAAGAAGGTTTGGGGACTGCAAAATGATGCATATTCTCTCCTTTCTGTGCAATAAGAACAGGCCATGTGTAGATCTATATTCTATAAGTCCTCTCCTATACCATTTGATTAACCACAGATTTCTTCTTCAAATCTTTTTGAATCATACTGGAATTGAAAATCAATTTTGACCAGAGATAGCGCCAGCTAGAAATTTTACTAATCATGTTGCTATATATCTTGCTGAAAATTATGCAATCTTATAATCATGAAGCCCTTCAGTCTCCATGCCTAAAAACGTACTAAGGGAGAGCCGTTACTCCACTTGTAATTTCAGCAGCTATCCTTGATTGCTTTGTCCTTGTAGAATGTTTGTTGTGCCCAAATATTTTCAAAACCATAAAGTCAAGTTTAATGGAATTTAAAACCAGACATATAAGTAGACCATTGGTTTATGTGTGATGTAAGATCAGATGACATGCCATCAACTATCCCCAGATAATATAAAGAATAATAGCTACCAATTCTGAATTCAGTGGAAGATCAAAAGGCAAGAGCTCCAACTCTGGTGACATATTACAAAGAAACTTTAGAACAAGTTCTAGACCATACCTTCATAGCTGCAGAAAGGAATCTATGGGCTATTGACTCCATGCCATCTTCCTCGGACACAATAGCCTGAAAACCCAAAAAGATAATTACCCACTGGAAGTTGGATGATAATGAAAACAGAAACATTGAAAATTTTAAAATTAATTGTCATCCAGTTTTATTCTAAATGAACTATAAGGCCATTGTATCAGGTCACTGATACTGCTTGTCTGCATAATAACTAGCAGGCCAACTTCCAAGAGCCCTTGGTGCTTAGGTGCAGCAGTGTTCTTAATAATACTGCTTGTCTGTGTAATAACTAGCACGTTCCCTGTTCAAAATGTTGTCCAAACTTAAAATAAATCACATACCTGGAAATACTTTTTGAGTCCCATACGCTCCAGGGCACCTACCATGTTTATCCGATCGAGACATGAAACAACAGCACAGGGTATGTGAACTCTAGATACTGCATCCAGCCATTCTTCCAGTCCCTCAATTGGTTCTCTAAGCTGGTTGAAAACATTAATAGCCAAATGAATTTTGGAGTTCAAGAGACAAGCTGTGTGACCATGTAATGACCAGTACACTCACCCCAAGTAGATTATCATGATATAGCTGGGATAGTCGTAACTTCAATCTATCCACTTCACTATCTTCTGTCTCCCAGAGTAATCCCTGAAAGTTTTAGGAGACATGTAAAGCAACTAATACAAGGAATATGAAATGATGGTTAATAGAACAATAAAAGAATTATATCTGTAGAACAAGAGAAAAAGCCAAGAAAATTATATGTATTGGAAAATCACACCATAGATTTAAGGAAGCTAAGCTTCAGGGATTATTTTATCAAAAGGAACAAAAACTCCAGGATCATACATCAATTCTACATCACCATGTTTCCTCAATTAACACCCAAACACTTACTTCAATACAATTAATTTGAAATTCAAAATATATGCATTTCTAACAATGCAACACTGAAAGTGTGAAATTTAGAAACCCCTATCCCCCCTGGGTCAAGACAAATACGTATAACTGATGATCCAACACAAATGATCCGCTGATCCATGCTAGCCAACTATATAACCTTTAATCCACCTTTTTCTAAGTCCAATTCAGGCACACATCTTTCATATAGATAAAGGATATCATGTGCAAAAACCACCACTACTCCTTTATGGGTAAAATTTAAAATTTTCCTTTCTAACCATCTTAAAGCTTACGTCCACTTAGCAAATTTGAGTGAGAAATGACTCCATGTAGCCACAAATATGAATTAAGTGGTGTAGGACTTCTGGTCATTTAAAAACACCACTACATCGTCCTCCAACTGGGGAAAACATTTGCTCTAAAGTTTGGCAAACTGATGTAATTAGATGTGTAGATGAGAGACCAAAACTTTATCCAGTCTGCACAACTAATTTATCTTTTTTTTTTTTTTTTTTTTCACTCCAGTTTTCTTCACTCATGGAATGCAGACTTTTCACAGACAAAACCATAATAATAAGTTCTGCAGCAATGCTGCCTTGCTGAAAGTGAATAATTCCAATGCCTTTTCAAGGCAATAGGCAAGAGCATAAAGATATTCATTGCACAGGACCATCTGAGAAGGAAAATATATCTCTAATCTAATAAAAGAAAGTCATCTTCTAAACATTATATATTCATAATAACAACCAAATCTAAAACGAAAAATTTTCAAACCTTGTGCAGTATGTGATCCGCATCTGCATATAGCATCAGTCTTTTAGCACGGTCATCTTCAGGAATTTCTTTTCCTGCACAGGAATCATAATGATAACACATATATTACAAAAAAATCCACATAAATTTCTGGCTTAATATTAAGTAAAATCAATATCTGTGTCCATATAAAAATCAATTAAAGACCAAGATACAACCCAAAGAGATGGTTCCACTATAACTAATTTGTTTATAATGGGGATAAAGCACCATGCAGCTGATCCAAAGTTCGAAATGAATTTGATGATTAAGACTATTGAAAAACAGCTTCCAGTTCTGCAAATAAGCAATTGTCTGATTTAGAAATATTGGAAACCAGTAGGCTGGTCCTATCATTTCCTCCATGTATATTTTAGCTTAAACATTTAACATAAAATCAGCACATTAGTCAGGGTATGAACTTTAGAAATTTTTACAATCAGGAAGTTGAGAGAAATAAATGGTTAACTTAAGGGGAAAATATTACAAACATACCTTCTTCAATTGCAAGCTGCTTCCATACATTCAACTTTATTGATCGAGTATCAGCCTGAAACACACCAAGTATACAATCATGATGGGGATTGAATTTCAACCTTTGCTCCCTTCACACCGCACCCCTCTCCTCCCTTTCTCTCTTTCCAAAATACCAGCATTTGAATCAGAATACTGTCCATATTCTTTTATTTCAAAATCCCAGATAACATCCTGTTTTCTTTGATCCCCATGAGCACTAAGATCTTTTGCATGCATGCAAGTGTTCCATTCTCTCCACAAGACTAAGGCAATGCACGTCTATTATTTAATCACATACAGAATGCTGTAGACATTTAGAAATATCTTCATCTATTAGTGATGCCAATCTTATGAACTCTTTGCTACACAACCATAACACAGCTAATAGAGTAAATAACAAAATGATATAGTGCTCATGGGAACAGCATGAAGAACAATAAAAATCATTGTTGTAATCGTAGAAATAAGAGTTAATAAACTGATTTCACACCCCACTTTTTGTGCAAGGCAGAGGGGAAGAGGAAAAAACAGAGTCCTCAAACTTTTAAGCATGATATCAAAGTTTAGAGCTGAAGACATTTCTCTGGAGATTCATCCCCCAATGTGACAAAAAAATACAACCTAACTAACTGTAACCAAAAATAAGATTTTGCTTCATGGTTATAGGAAATTACCACAACATTGTCCCAAGAGAAAACAAGACCATAGGCTTCATCTGGTTTCATGGCATAGCGTATCCGATGAAGGAAACCTTCTTGCAGTCTATCATTCAAAAAATCCTATTTCCAATTCCAGAAATAAGTAAATAATCAAATGAAAAACTCATTAAGCAATAACCTATGCTATTTTAGCCTCAGAAAACTAAAATATTATCACTCTAACAAAGAACCCAGTTTATGAAAAGATTAAGAATTAAATGTAAGTAAATTATTTATTATAAGGACTTACCACATCAACCTTTAAAAGCCCATCCTGTCTAAATGTCTCAAAACCTTCTCCATATTCAGCTCCAATTGCCTATTTCACAAGCAAAATTAAAAAAAAAAATACAAAAGAAAAAACCTTCTTTGAAAAAAAATAAAATAAAGTACCTCTTGCATGAAAAGCTTTTTAGGTGTAATGGGAAGCCCATTATTATTAACAGAGCCATTTTGATCGAACCCACAAGCATTTTTGATGACTAAACGATGATTTGGCTTTAATTTCTGCAACGTATAACAAAGCGTTAATTAGTTTTAGTTAGTTATATCGTAAATTAAAAAGAAAGCAAGAAAAGTGATAAAGTGTTCAAAGAAAAACCGGAAATTTTAGCTTAGAATGAGAAAAGAGAGAGTGAGGAAGAGGAGAAGAGGAGGGTGAAGGTGGAAGTTGCAAAGAAGAAGAAGATGATGATTGGGAAGAAGAAACGCTTCTAAAATTGCTGCAATAGCACTTCATTTTTCCTTTTTCTTTTATTTTTTACTTTTAGGGCATCTAAAATCTAAAAGCAGATATATAGTAATATCGGTGGGCTTTTTTCGCAAATTGTGAGGTCCATCTTGCTGTTTGAGTGCCGTGCCTTCGCATTGAATCACGTGCACCGCGTGTTGCTTGTATATTTATCCAAATCATAACCTCTTCAAAATAAACAAAATATCCAAACCATGTTGTTTATTTTTATTCCTTAAATATTTTTTAATGTTGTTTATTTCTATAACATTTTCAAATGAAAAGTACACATAAGTTTGTTTTTTAACCGTAAACGAGTAATAAGTTTTCTTTGTCGGACTTTAATTAATTTAAAGTTTTTCTCTCAAATATTTATGTCTTGTTATATATTTTCATAAAATCTTTAGAGATAATTATAAAAATAAAATTCCTCTAAAAAAATCTTCTATAATAAGAAAAATATAAATTTATTTTTAAATCTCTCAAATTTAAAACAATATTTTTCTTATCAAAATATTCAATAGTTAATTGGTGTGAAGTTAGGGGTTAACTACCAAATATTTTGGTAAGAAAAATATTTATTTTAGGTTTGTGAGATTTAAAAATAAATTGATGAATTTTTTTAGATAAAACATATTTTTAGAGAATTTTTTTGATAATTATCTAATAATAATCTTATTATATATTTTTTATGAGTCTAATACATCTTTTTTTATTATTATTATGATCAAATTCATGTTCTTTCTGATCATAATCCAAAGGAAAAAAATTCATGGGTTATTTGACTAGTAACCTACTTAACTTCTGCTTTTCATTTTTTATTACACTAAAAAATTCCTTTGTACAGGTTTTTATTTCTTTCTATTACTGTTTGTTTCGTCAATTAAGGAATTAGTTTTACCAAATAGTAGTTATAGGAATTCATGCAATTCAACTAGTTGTTAATAATAATAAAAAAAAACACCAACATTAGTACTGATTTTTAATTAATCAAAACTTAACTCTTTTTGTAAAAAAATTAAATTAAATTATGCGATAAATATATAACATATCTTGATGTATTAATTAAATAGAATATGAACATTCAAAATAGAAATATGTATCTCAAAAAATAATGGTTTCATTTAAGTTGGTGTTAATTATCAAAAAAAAAAAAAAAAAACCCTTTAAAAAACTTCTATTTTAAAAAAATCCATCCATTTATTTTTAGATCTTTCAAATCCAAAACAATAATTTTTGATATTATTGGAAAAAATTCTTGTTTTGGATTTGAGAGATTTAAAATAAATTGGTGGATTTTTTTATATAAAAGGTTTATTTTTAGAATGTTATTTTGATAATCATCCCAAATCTTTACTATATATTTAAATTTATTGTTTTTCTTGAAAAAAATCACTTATAAAAAGTGTTATTATGTAAATTATTTAATTAATTTTAGTTATTTTTTTTACCTAAAATATTTTTTATTTTTTTAAAATAAAAGATTTATTATCGTGCAATGTTATTTTGCTAATTGTTATTCTAATAATCATTAAAAATTCTATTTTAAAAAAAGATTTTCCTATATGAATTTTTTTTCTTTTTCTTTTGTAATATTTTTAGTATAATCAAGATCTACAATAATGGTAGCATATAAAAATTAATAAATTATGATTATGAACTATTTTATAAATGAGAAAATTGGACATTGAAAAATATTATCATAGAAATTTTATTTTAAGAAAAATAGAAGGAAAGAAAAGAAAATTTCTAAATCAGTAATTTTTTAAATATATAAACTTTTTGGAAGATATATAAACTATAAAAGCGAACTTATTGTTAATTTGTCTTTCAAAATTGAGCTCATATATATATATATATTAACTTATTGCTAATTTGTCTTTCAAAATTGAGCTCATATGTATATATATATATTTTTTTTAAAAAAAAATCAATTGGTAGCCAACTTACAATGTAATAAAATTTCTTCCAACTGAATTAAATTGATTAAATTTTACAAACATAAGGATTGGTCGAATTTTTCTATATAGATTTATTTGTCAAATTGATACAAACACATGAGTGATTTTAGGGTTATTCCCTTGATAGCTCATGAATCTTTTAGTTTTTTTTTAAACACCAAAGACATGGCCTCTTCCTAAAACAAAACCAAAATGATCTCTTGCAAGGGTTAGCAAAACCAAATCAAATTACCATTATTGGGTTAGTTTAGTTTGGTTTGTTTTGGATTAGGTTTTGTAATTTGATTTTCATTTTCGGCTCAATTTTGAAACCAAACAAATTGAAAACCAATTTTTTTAGTTTCTATTTTTTTTTTAAAAATACAATTAAAAATTGATAAATTTAAAATTTTATCTTAGAAAAAAAAACATAAAACTAAGTCAAAATATTTTGATTCACATAATTTGATTTTTCATAAATTTAATTTGGTTCATAAACTAAAACGATTAAACAAAAAATCAAACTAAACAAACAGACCCTTAGCTCTTGTCCATCTAAGAATTGATATGATTTAGCACATTCCCTGTAGAGTTATGTAGGAGTAGTTGTGGTAGTCCAAATGAATTCATGAAAAACCTCGCTATATTTTTTTAAAAACTTTTTGTGTAACTAAAAATCTAAGTAATATTATATTTATATATATTACTTAGGTCTACGGGTCTTTATATAATCAAACTTAGTATTTTTGTTAAGCCGAGTCAACGGGAAGTAAGTTTGAAGTTAGTTTCATGAATTATGATAAAGGAGTTAAAAGGAATATCTCAAATTATTATTATTATTATTATTTAAGTTGTTTGTTATGTCTTAATTTTTATCATAATATTTCCTCTAGCATTAAAAGAGTTATCTTGATTTAGCTAAGACTAAGGTTCAATTTGTACTACCTACAAATAACTAACCATAATTATTCTTTAATGGTAGCAAACTTAGACTCATTTGGTCTAAGAAGGAGTCTAGTTATCGATAAAAAAACTCAATAGTTCTAATGTTGTTGTGGCTTAAAAAGTGATGGACTTAGTCTTGATTGATGTGAAATTTGATCCGAAAATACCCCACTACTTATAAATATATATAAAAAATTGATTTTAGAGGGAAAAAAATTAATAAATCTCCATTTAATATGATGAAAAGAAGAAGAATAAGAAGAAGAGAGAAACACACAAAAGATTCAAGTAAAATTTCATATTGTCATTTTTACTAGAGTAGTTGAACTTTGAGGATGATTGTATAATTGATGCAAGCTACTAAGGTCTCAATTCTTATTTAAAAAAATTTCAAGTTTCAAATATAACTTTTTAGGTTTAAAATTATGATCTTAGATGGCTCAATCTTTTGAATTTTTATTTATTTATTGTCCACTTATTTTTAAAATGCCTACGCTTACCAATCGATATCTATTTAGCTTTTGAAAAAAAAAATTGCAAGAAATCTTTTTTATTTGTTATTATTTTCTATAAGAGTTTATGATCTAAGAATAGATGGATGCACGTAAGATAATATGTGTTGGGTTAGGACGGTTATACAACATGGTGAAAAATAGAAATCTTCTTCTCCTTTTCTTTCTTACAATCCATTTATTCTTGTGGTTTGTTTACTTGTCCTGGAAGTTTTTTTGTATATGAAAAGAAAATAAGTTACATTTGCTTTTAAGTTTCGAAGTTTTTTTTTAATTTATTTTCCGATGACTTTTTATTAGTTTTGAATTTTGAAAATAATGTAACCAATTTAAGCCCACCTTTATATTTTGATAATAAAATTTTGAAACTTGGAATAGAGAAGGTGTTCGGCACGAGGGTTCACTTTGTCAATACACGGTGTCCATTTAACTTACATGTAAGCAATTTTCCAAAGTCCTAGCAAAATAATATATATATATTAAAAAAATACTAAAACAATTGAATTCGGACTCATTTCCCCTATTCATGCCTTTTCTTGGAATTTTTTTTCATTTAGTCTCGCAAGTTTCTCTTAGCCCTACCCTATTCATGCCTTTCGCAGTTGTTTGATCCTCCACCTTCTCCTATTATAGTCATTAGATTTTATTCCTTTTTCTTTTTTATTCTTTTGTTTTGCAAATCTGATTGGTTAAAGAGAGATTATGTAATCTCAATAACTAATAGATTGTTGCCAATCATTACATCTTATCTCCAATAACCTTTAATTTATCAAAATTGAAAATGCTTCTCTCTCTCGCTCTTGGATATGCAAATCTTAAAACCTTTCTCTCTTTCTCACATGTCTGCAGCTCAACAAAAAATACCTCTCTTTCTCATATGTCCCCATCCCAACAAAAATTATTCATGCCAATCATTGTGTGATTGACTACGACAAGGGTGTTGATAGTGAGTTTTAGTGGTTAGGGTTTGGTATTAAGGAGGGTAGCGAGGCTTTTGATTGTGGGTTTTTACGTACTGGGTTTTAGTGTAGAAGAGGTAGTGAGTGTTTTTTCTAATGAGTTTTGATAGCTGCAGTTTGGTGTGGGAAGATCAAGTATGGCTAGATTTTTTTTTTTTGGCCTAGAGAGGTTTTTATGAGATGGGGGAGGGATGCCACTACAATCAAAATGGAGAAGAAAAGCCTTTATTTTTTGTAGATCTAGTTATGGTTATGCTTGCATGCGGTTAGATTAGATGAAATCAAACCTTTTCCAAATTGGATCACTATCCCTTGT